TTACAACAAATAATATAACAAAGAGAACCTAAAGAACTGAACTTGGCCACAACTCTCTCTTACTTAAACGAGCTCTGAAGTAGGCCAGATATTGGCAATTTCAGGTCATATGTCAACCTCTGGAGAACCATTGCCAACGAGTGTACGTCCGATAGGGCTCTATGGGCCGAACCAATCAATGGAATACTGTAGTATTCTCGGAGGGCTTGTAAAGTTACTTTAGAAGGAACTTTTGATCCTGATGATAATATTTAAACCAAGTTAGCTATAAAATGCAAATGCGTCTATGAACATGTTTTCTGAGCGAAGGAGAGAGAGGCCAGAACCTTTAGATTTCATCACTGCACGAGCCAGTGGAAGGGTGTCGATGAATAACCAATCCGAAGGAATCTCATAAGAGCAGCGACTAAATTCTCTTTTCAAGAAGGGGACATCAAAAGTGCGAGCATTGTGAGCAACTAAAACCACATCTCCACCAGGTATCTGGCGGCTTTGTATATACTGGAGTAAGATGGGAATCAGCTGCTCCATCCTGAAAAGCAATTGTTCGCCAAAGCTTATTTATTTCCTTTAGCTAAGCCAAGACAAACCAATTATTAACTCAAATGCGAACATTTCACTTGTAATTTTCAGATAGAAAAGCACGGTATTTAAAAGATTCATACACAGAACCTTGTGTGTTAAAGTGAGCATAAGGTAAACATTGTCACCACATTGGTAGACCGAAAGGCACAATTTTTAAACAATGATCTATATCAAAGTTAAAAATTTCTGTAATTAAGATACCTGGGAACATCAGATCTATTGACCATGTTGCTTGAAATGCCGTGAATGTATGTGTTTGGCACATAACGTCCCGGATTCACTAGAGTCTGAAAAGTACTGTTTTCTCCTCCTCGTAGGTCTTGTAATGCAATCTCAATAATCCGATTATTCTCTCTGCCAAGCCCAGTAGTTTCAATATCGAAAACAATAAAAGTTGCAAGGTTTTCCAAGTCTTTGTTGTCAGCAATATTTGTTTGAACATAATATTGATTTCTTTCTATTTCAGTTGTTTCTAATTCATATGTATTCAACTTAATGTTACTTGTTTCCTCTGAAATTTCATGTCTGATACTAGTTTTGCCGCTCAAGGTGTCCTTGTTTCCTCCTGTTTTCGTATTTACAGATCTTCTAATCCACCTCCTACTATATCCTCCTTCAATATCATATTTATGAGAACCAACAATTTTGAAGCTAGAATTACCAAGACTACCTCTACCTAACTTTATATAACTTCCCCACCACGAATTAGTTAAGGTGTGAATTTTGCATCGAGGAACTTGAAAGAGAGAGAAGCACATTGCAATTGTTTTCATCCGAACCCAAGAATGACCTCACTACCAGATCCAAAGTGGAGAGAACTTGCAAAATAGCTTAACCTGCAGACAGTGTCACAACAAATATTAAACAAATGCATAATGCAGATGCCAACATAATAGTACTCTAATATTCCACCTGACAACTTATCCCAAGCTGCTCGTCATCATACAATAAAATAATCGTTCAGACTTCAGACAACATTTTATCAAAAAGAGTACTTCACGAGAATAACGCAACTGTTTGTAAACTAATTTTACTGCAATTTACAAAAGTAAATAAACAGAATCCCGCAGAGCAAGGAATATGGTTTGAATCACTGGTGGAGTAAAAGGCCTCA